ACTGCAATTCTTACTTGACTCATCGACTGGTTATATTCCTGCATCAGTGGTCTAAGTCGTGCTTCCCGGAATGGGGTCTGAAGGTGAACACGAAGAGGATAGCCCAAATCACCATATATACACATAGGCTGCCCTGTTGGTGAGTAAGCATGGTTTTGTAGATCTTGTAGGAGTCCAGACTCTGCCAGGATCCCCGCATCATGTCATCGGCCTTCTGCAAAACAGCAGATTTTGTCATTAGAAACCCAGCTGGAGAAGCATGGGGCATGGCTGGGGGATGAGTAGGGTTCAAATCACCAGGAGACTAGTTCAGTTTGCCAAAATCCAGATTTAGATTAGATCTTTAGTGGGCCTTAAACAACTTAAGCCCTTGAATTAGAAAGTAAACTTACCAGTTGGTCCAAAGAGGTACCCAATTAAACCATTGGGTAAGGCGATGGACTGGAATTTCAGGGCATGGACTCTCTTGTGCCCATTATATGCGGATCTTTGGTTTTCTCCGGGGTGGCAAATTGGCCGGACTGTCCCATCCACAAAACCGAAACAATCAGTGAGTGGTGCACCTTGTCTTGCTATGGCAGGATTTAAGACGTTTTCATTCCACTCAGAGATAAGATATCCATGCATATTAAAAATATAATCGATGACACGGTTTGTGATAAGGCTGATAACTGAAACTGGCCTGCCACCAAATCGAGGTATAATATCGCTGTATCGACAAGGGTAACAAACGCGTCTCAAAAGCATGCATAGGCCTTCCATACCATCACAAATACTTCTTTGTTCCAATTTGAATCACTCTGGTATCCGGAGAACCTCTCGAAGACGAGGTAAGTCCTGCTTTAACACACGAAACTCAGCCTTGCATTCGGCCTCTTCTACATCGTCGACAGCGTTGAGCTTAAGACAGCTTCAGTCAACCCTGACAGTGAACATAGTAACATATGGGTGATGTGTTGCAGCATACATTAAAAATAAATAAAGAAATGAAAAATAAAAACAATTTAGTCGAAACATGTTTGCTATTAAAATAAATTTTTGTGCTTAATTGCTCTTGTGTGATCAGACCATATGGTAAAAATAAATAATAACAATTTTAAACACAGTATGTTCAGTACAAGAAACAATCTAACTTTAGTCTTTAATACCTGTCCACTTATCATAGAACACTCCTTCATACTGCTCAACAAAAATCTTTGCCAATCAGTCTTGCTGTAAGGTATGCTTTCCAATGACAAAGAGTATTCATCAATCACCTCTATAGCTGCAAACAAGATAAATCCCTCCTCTCATCTCCTATCCATATATTGTCGCACTTCCAAAAGTTGCTTTTGCTCTAACACAGAACTCCTAACAAAATTAAATATTTTAAAAATATGTTAGTTAAATATACATAACCAATACTTTTTACTCTACCTCAAGTTCCTTACAAACACTCACTACTTGTTGACATTGTGATGGGCAAAGCACAATTCACTGCCAATGCATTTAAAATACACTTATATTAATCAAAATAAAATTACCTTACTTTACTATTTACAAAATTGTAGGGAACTACTAATCCATGAAACTTCATAGTTCAAACAGTGTTAGGCAAAAGACAGAGAACTGTCTGATAGCCTGATATTGTATCTGTCATAATTTGTGCCTTCATGCATGGTCAAAACAGAGGAAATAATGTTTGTGCCAAAATTCATGCATGCACCATTCATATACAAACCTTTTCATTCTCTTTGCCTTGGATGTGTCGCACATTTCCCTCAACTTATGATAGCCAAACCTACGGGTACCAGGTGATAAGCCCATATTGAAAACACATCATGTCCTGGATTCTTTCAAGATATTAGGTCATGATGAAGTATACGATATTATTCAGCGATCTGCCAAAAAATCATGTGCACTGGACCCCATTCCAACCAATTTGGTCTGCGACTCTCTAGACGTTCTGATGCCAGTGATTTTAAAGATGGTGAATACTTCTCTTTCTACTGCACATTTCCCAGAAGACTGGAAGGAAGCTCTTGTTAAACCACCGCTAAAGAAAGGTTCTCGGGATCCAGCTTATAAGAACTTGCGACCTATTAGTAACTTACAATTTGTCTCTAAAGTCACCGAAAGAGCAGTGTTCGATCAGCTGTATGCTCATGTAATTGATAACAATCTATTTCTCTTTTTCCAGTCGGCATACAGGCAGTTTCACAGCACGGAGACAGCCCTGCTACGAGTTGTTAATGATATTCTTTTCAATATGAATCGGAAGCATGTGTCGCTTTTAGTCTTACTGGATTTAAGTGCAGCGTTTGACACTGTGGATCATACCATCCTATTACATCGTTTGGAGACCTCATTTGGTGTCACAGGATCAGCGCTCGATTGGATCTCTTTATATTTGTCTGGTCGCACTCTACGTGTCTCAGTTAACAAAGGATTGTCAGACACTTGTCATGTACCTTACGGTGTTCCTCAGGGCTCTTGTCTAGGTTCCTTGCTCTTCACAATTTATGCTAGTAAATTGTTTGACGTTATTAAGATGCATTTACCTGAAGCTCACGCATATGCTGATGACTCCCAGTTATACCTTTCGTTCTGATCAGACAGTTCTTCGAGTGAAATGGAAGCATTGAATGCAATGGAACAATGCATTAAAACTGTGAGAGCATGGATGGTTATTGACAAGATGAAAATGAATGATGGCAAAACGGAATTTATGACTATTGGGACTCACCAACAACTTACGAAAGTTATTGTTGATAGATTAATCGTTGGAAGCTCTAGTATAACTGCAGTGAATGAGGCTAGAAATCTTGGAGTTTGGTTTGATTCGAATATGAATTTTAATGTTCATATTACTAAAACATGTAACCTGGCCTTTTACTTTCTGCATAATATACGACGTATTAGAAAGTACCTCACACACGAGTCTATGCAACAGCTTGTACTTGCTTTGGTCATTGGACACTTGGACTATTGCAATAGCCCCTTTTATGGATTGCCGGCGAACCAAATTAACAAGTTACAGAGTGTTCAAAACGCAGCAGCTAGATTGGTGTCCAACACCCCTCGTTTCTGTCACATCTCTCCTGTCATGTACCGACTGCACTGGTTGCCGGTGAAGTACAGAATTATCTTTAAGATCATTTTAATTACATTTAAGGCTATGCAAGGCAATGCTCCAAGGTATATTTCAGATTTAATAAGTTTTAAACAACAATCCCGTTATAGCTTGCGCTCAAATAACGGGTGTTACCTTGGGTACCCTAAAGAGAGAACTAACAAAACTACAGGAGATAGAGCATTTGCCGTGGCCGCGCCAGCTCTGTGGAACTCATTACCTACCAGTCTTAGAACTGAGAACAGTTTGCTTAATTTTAAATCATCTTTAAAAACGTATCTTTTTAAATTAGCATAAGAACAGTAGGTGTAGTTTTATCAAATATAGTTTTAGTTATTTGTAAATTAATACTGTTGTTGTATTTATCTTATTTCATGTAAAGCGCATTAGATCATATACATATGTATTTTGCGCTATATAAATTTTAAATATTATTATTATTATTACGGTTATACAAAGCAGCAAAAATAAAAAACGGCAAGGCACCAACTATCAATAAACTGGCGCAGTCTTTCAGCAATGGCATGTAGAATCCTGTGTCCTCCAATGTCAATAAAAACTCATTCTCCAAGCAATTCTTTTAAAAATAGTGTTTTCCCCCTTCAGTCCAACTACCGTAGTGTTCATATATTTTGCATTTGCGGCATGACTTTATTTGTGTGCCAAGGTAGCTACCAAAATAGATATGGTAAAATACAACAACATTTCCACTCCCTTTAACCAGTAACGCATGACCACAACAACAACATGATGTCCTCTTTGACATCAATAATGTCCCAATTGGAGAACCACAGCTCAAGCTAAAGTCATGAAAAAGTGTAAAATGTATTACTCAACCCTTTAACGAGGCAATCCTTAGTATCTAAGTAAAGAAGCCTCTTGTTTCACAGGCAAATTTTCGGTCTTCATCTTCCTTGCGTGACTCCCCTAACACTATCCTCCTTTTCTACACCTTGCATTACATATCGCCTCCCAACATTACAAAACACGAAAGTATAAACCCTCCATCACAATATTTGTAAAGCACGGAGCCAGAAAGTTGCCGTATATTAAATAACATTGAATTCTCTGGATCTGAATTGAAATATTTTTCATCTCACCTAGCTTGCACCTCATTTGTCAACCCTTACGCCCAACCATTTTAACAAAAAATTTATTTTTGGATCAATGCACGCGACACACATCATGACAGGAAGTGTAACAGAATCGCATTACTGGCATGTTGTGATTTAACACCGGTAAAATTTAAATATGTAGCTATGTCAATATCCCCTTAAAAAAGGCCATCTTATTTTTATACATTTTCGAGACAGATATTTCTGTCAGCACGCTAAGGTTAGGTGTGACGTTACGCCACAATGACACACCAGTGATATGCGCATGTAAGCTTCAAAAAGTCTAAATAAATAATTTGTTAAAAGATATTAAAGTATTTAAAGACATAATAATTAAATATTCATGCAATAGCACGGTGTCTTTCTCAAACTTCCACACACAGCCTTTCCTGGATTTTACGTTATTATAAGCTATGCATTTTCCCTCTAACAACCTAAATTGCTGTTTACCTCATTCACAAATAGACAAATTCTGCATGTATACCGTCCCCGAGTAACAGTCTATGGGCTACAATTGGACCCTTTTTAACGAGCTATATTTCAGTCACACGCGATTGTATATATGAACCTTGTTCACAAAAGTCTGTCCACAGATTGTAAACTAACAGCTGTCCATTCCATACCAATGGTACGGGTCGACAACCTTTTCAGGGTCAAACCTTAGGCCCTGTTTATATGAGAGGCGGGATGGGACGTTTGCCGGGACGGGATGTTTTTTCATCCCACGTTTACATGACCCGGGACGTTTATTAAAGTAGCGGGAAATTTCAAATATGGCGGAAAAAAACTCGGCTGAAACTCATCAAGTAGAATTACAGTCAATCTTGTCCTTGGCAGGGATGGCGATGAATTTAATACAAACAATAAGTCATTTTTTGTTGATGATTAAATCTCGTTTCGAGAACAACATGCTTCTAGCCGCACATTCAACAGAGCGAAAAAGCTACTGGAAGGAAAGGGTTAGTGAAAAATCAAGACGAAAAGCTAACAGACAGCGTCGATCAGCCTGGTATGTAAAAGGAAGAACAGACAAGTGGTGGGATAATATGATTTCAGGAAGATTGCCAGAAAATAACTGGAAGAAAAACTTTCGAATGTCCAGGCAACAGTTTGAGAAATTAGTGAATGAACTAAACCAATTAATTGCACCAAACCTAACTTCTCCCAACTATCGGGTAATTTCATCAACGAAAAAAGTCGGCATTGCTCTTTACTATTTAAAAGACACTGGCTCACTATCAATGACAGCCAATGCCTTTAATGTTAGTATTTGTACAGTGTCTAAAATTATAAGGGAAGTGTGCTCAGCCATAACCTATAAGCTGGGCCCAAAATATGTCAAGTTACCCCAAACAGCAGAAGATATGATTGAAAAAGCATCGGAGTTTTTGTCAAAGTACGGAATGCATCAAGCTTTTGGATGCATCGACGGCACCCATGTGCCTATTTTAAGACCAACTGAACACTCCCAAGACTACTTTTGCTATAAGCAGTACTTTTCCTTGAACGTTCAAGCTATTTGTGACTTTAAGGGAATGTTCATGGACATAGATTGCACGTAGCCAGGTAGCGTGCACAATGCGAAAGTTTTTTCAAATTCAAACGTTGGTATAAAGTTACGCAATCAGGAAATGCCAATCACTTACCAAGAAGTTGTTCCAGGAAGAAGCAAAGTTCCAAATTACCTAATTGGAGACCCTGCCTATCCATTGACAACATATTGTATAAAGGAATATGACAAATGCTCACGCAACTCAGAAGTTGTATTTAACAATATGTTAAGATCTGCCAGAAATCCAGTGGAGTGTGCGTTTGGACGACTCAAAGCCAGATGGAGTATACTCACCAAGAAGATTGACTTAGCTTTGGATTTTGTTCCCACTGTTGTTTACTCATGTTTTGTACTTCATAATTATTGTGAGCTCAATAAATGTGCAATTGATCCTGAATTAGTAAAATTTCACATTGAGCAGCACGAAAATGAAGGTGACAGTGGAAATGGCCCACACCCAGTTCTTTCTGGAAATTTAGCTGAAGGAGAAGTGGTTAGAGACATACTACGGGAATACATAGAAAATAGTTTGAACACAGCATGAAACTGTAAAAGAAATATCTTCAGAGAAAATTAACAAATAAATGCCAAATAACAGCTCAACATTTAGTTATGGTAAAGGACAAGGTGTGCATCTTCACAGTAATCATTGCGTGTGCACATTAACAGTAATCATACCAACTTAACATTAATCTTAACAGTAATCTTAACAGTATGTTTCTTAACAAAACAGTTTCTTCTGGTGCAATTCCTTTTGATGACTGAGTAATTGATCACCCTCTCTCCCATGGATGAGGTTTTTTAAGGGCTCTAGTTTTAATTCTAAAATTTCTCAGGGCAATGGATTTAAAGTTTTACATGTAGTCATTCAAATTTTTGAAACTTCAATTAACTGAACTGAACAGTTTCAAATCAATGTTGGACCTCATACATACTGTAGGAAAGGGTGTGAATGGAATTGCCCAGTTAAATGAAGTGTTCCTCAAAGTTAATAAATATTATATGTTGTTTATATTGATATTATAATGTTTTACCCAAACAGAAATTGTGCATCAACAATGCATGTTTGTTCACTGATTTTGCTGGTAAAACCCTGATCTAGTTGGCTGCATTTGAAAATACTCCAGACCACCTTGGTGAACTCTTGCTTGACCTTGATCTTCCAGGTTGTAGTAAGGCAATGCCACAGGTGCAGGGCGTACAGATGATGAGTTGCTAACAGCTTCCAATGATTTAGCAATAGCATTGCTAATAGACAGCATGGACTGGCTCATGTTATCCAAGGCATGCACAAAGGACTCGTTTGCATTTTTCATCATCGCACGAAACTCCCTACGCTCTTCTCGGTCTTCTTTAGCTTCTTTGAGAAGAAGAGAATCACGTTGTGCCGCAGATAGGCGTCGCTCCAGATGTTTCCTCTTGTCATCAATGAGCATTACCGCATGATCTTTAGGTTTCTCTACCTGTTTTTTAGATTCAAGTGTTTTGAAACTTGTAGCTTCTGTTGTTTTGGTACTGGATTGTAAAATGGTATTATCAGGCTCTTTGGTAACAAAGAAATCATCATCAAGTTCACCAATGAGATCACGCTCTCTTGATGCTTCTTCTTCACTGACAATGGCACTGTCGTGAAGGGCATCATTCGCATCAATAGTCTCACCCATTGTATTGACGCTGCTGGTATCAATTCCACTTGAAAGTGGTTGTATGTTCGGGCAACCTCCCCAAATTTGCTTAAGCCTATCGTAATGGTCATACACAATTTTACCGCTGCCGCTTCGAGTACCGTTCAAAACCGCCTTGGAAAAACCCTGTCGAAGATCCTTTATTTTTTCTCGAATCCGCTGATATCCTCGATTAACTAATTTTAACTTCGCGTTATATATCTTCTTCTCTTCTTTTGTTGCATTTTCCGCGATCTTTGTTACAGATTCGGGCCCAAACATATCTTCGTCATCAATATAGTCTTTCGACATTTCTTCTCTGATCTTCGAATACTGTGCAGGCTTATCGGCGTCAAAATCTATGTTACTGTATTCGCATTTAACTTTAAATTCCAGTAAATGCCTTATTAGATTACCAATCATGTCATTAAATCGAAAAGCCTTTTTTGGCTTTTTTTTCTCCAATGTTGCCATTGTTGCGTCGATATCAGAAAACTCAGCAGTTCTTTTTGTGGACGCCATGTTGTTCTGTTGTTACGTGATTGATAAAATAATGCTATGTCAGCGTAATGCTGTCCCGGTCAAGCGAGATCGAGCGTTTATATGACAAAAAACGTCCCGCTTAAACCGGGATCCCGCTTGCTCGAAGCGGGATCCCGCCCTGGCGGGACGGGACAAAAAACATCCCGCTTTCATATAAACAGCGCACGAAAGCTATTATACAAACATATACAAGGCGAGATCCCGGTCATTGTCCCGTCCCGGCAAACGTCCCGTCCCGCCTCTCATATAAACAGGGCCTTAGTCACATGGTGTTACATTACTTTATTTACGAATCGACACATTCTGTTTACGGATCGCAAACTACCAGTCCATTTGATACCAATGGTACGGATTGACAACCTTTTCAGGGGTAGACCTTAGTTAAGGGCAAGCCTTAGTTAAATTACTGTATACCAATGGACACAGCCTGTTTACAAATCATAAGCTAACAGTCCATTTGATACCAATGGTACGGATCGACAACCTTTTCAGAGACCTATCCTAAACACATCTCGCGCCCTTTACGAATCGTAAACTAACAGTCCATTCTATACCAATGGTACAGATCAACAAGCTTTTCAGAGGCCTATCCAAGCCACATCTTCTCTATTTACCAATCGACACAGTCTGTTTACGGATCGTAAATGAACAGTCCATTCGATACCAATGGTACGGATCAACAAGCTTTTCAGACGCCTCTTCTAGACACATCTTCCCTATTTATGAATCAACACAGTCTGTTTACAGATTGTAAACTAACAGTCCATTCTACACCAATGGTACGGATCGACAAGCTTTTCAGAAGCCTATCCTAAACACATCTGGCCGAATTTACAAATCGACACAGTTTTGACACAATTTGTTTACGGATCGTAAACTAACAGTCCATTCGACACCAATGGTACAGATCGACAAGCTTTTTAGAGGCCTATCCTAGCCACATCTTCCCTATTTACAAATCGTCACAGTCTGTTTACGGATCGTAAACGAACAGTCCATTCTATACCAATGGTATGGATCGACAAGCTTTTCGGAGGCCTATCCTAGACACATCTTCCCTATTTACAAATCGTCACAGTCTGTTTACGGATCGTAAACGAACAGTCCATTCTATACCAATGGTATGGATCGACAAGCTTTTCGGATGCCTATCCTAGACACATCTGGCCGAATTTACGAATCGATACAGTTTGTTTACAGATCGTAAACTAACAGTCCATTTGACGCCAATTGTACGGATCGACAAGCTTTTCAGAGGCCAATCCTAGACACATCTGGCCGAATCGACACAGTTTGTTACGGATCGTAAACAAACGGTCCATTCGATACCAATGGTACGGATTGACAAGCTTTTCAGAGGCCTATCCTAGACACATCTGGCCGAATTTACGAATCAACACAGTGTGTTTACGGATCTTCTCCTTTTTACCAATGGACAAAAATCTGTTTATGGATCGTAAACTAAAGTCCATTCAATACCAATGGTACAGATCGACAAGCTTTTCAGAGGCCTATCCTAGACACATCTATCCGAATTTACGAATCCACACAGTTTGTTTACGGATCGTAAACTAACAATCCATTCAATACCAATGGTACGGATTGACAAGCTTTTCAGAGGCCTATCCTAGACACATCTGCCCGAATTTAGGAATCAACACAGTGTGTTTACGGATCGTAAACTAACAGTCCATTCGACACCAATGGTACGGATCGACAAGCTTTTCAGAGGCCTATCCTAGACACATCTGGCAAATTTACGAATCGACACAGTTTGTTTACGAATCGTAAACTAACAGTCCATTCGACACCAATGGTACGGATCGATAAGCTTTTCAGATGCCTCTCCTAGACACATCTTCCCTATTTACAAATTGACACAGTCTGTTTACAGATCGTAAACGAATAGTCCATTCGATTCCCATGGTGTGGATCGACAAGCTTTAGAGCGGGCCTGTAGCTTGGCCCATCTTCGTGCTTTTTACCAATGGACAAAATCTGTTTACGGATTGTAACAAACAGTGCATTCGACACCAATGGTACAGATCGACAAGTTTCCCTGGGGCCTATAGTTTGGCACATCCTCCCCTGGACGGTTCATTCGACACAAATGGTATGGATTGACAAGCTTTTCAGAGGCCTATCTTAGATGCATCTGGCCAAATTTACCAATCGACACAGTTTGCTTATGGATTGTAAACTAACAGTCCATTCGACAACAATGGTACGGATGAATAACTTCCTTGCTTGAAACGAATCCAAATGACACTGAATGGAGCATAGCTGTTGTGGAATAATCTTCATAAAGAATGCTCTATGAATTTTCTCCTAACAAGATGGTTGAATCAGGATCCTTTGGAAAATTTCTTTGGAACCATTTGCCAGCAAGAAGGCAAAATAGTGATAGCCCTACACCATTTCAGTTCCCTCAAGCATTTGCAAGTGAAGTGGTTCTTTGACAACTAGTTATCTCCATTGTCCACGGGCAGCTGTGTGCATCAGATTTTGATGTAATTCTTGCATCATCAGGGCCGAAGAGATACGCATACTCTAAGACAGTAGGCTTTGGATTTTGAAATCTCATTTTGGTAAAAAGATGCTCCACAACAAGGGTAAGTAAAGATGCAAGCACAAATGTTGCATATAATTTGCATTGATGTACTTAACTGTTTCTTGTAACGACATTAACAACTCTAACATAAGCTCTACGCCTTTGATGATCTTAGACGACGGCACTCCTTGTGGACCTTGAACGGCACCTGTCTTCCTTCTGACACAAAGTGTCGAGTTGCTGCAAGAAGTT